ACGTGTGCTCTTCCGATCTATAAACTATTTAATTTTTACATGTTAGGGTTAGCAACAAAATCGGAAATTGTTATATTTCAATAGGACGATGCTTGCAGATTGTTTTTATATCGAATTCATGTGAGCAACAAATTCTGGAAAGATCGGGCAAGGAAACTAATTGTAACGAGCAGGGCATACTATGTAGGTTTTCTGCTACTGTTTATATTTATTTTGCGAGTAATTAAATCAAAACTAACATATTTTGTGAGCAACAAATTAGCAATAAATTCTGACGTTATTTTTATGAATAATTTTGTTGTTACATATACACTCCTCCCCAAAATTAAAGGATCACCTATTCTGATCGCTAAATATAGGCAAATTTCAAAAGAGTAGCTTCGTCAAAAACGATCGTAACAGAATCATCTAAAAAGCATTTTACAGTTTCAAGTCTCTACTTTCGAAATCCATAATTTATTAAATGACTTACTGATTCTTTACAAAGCTACACGAATGCAAATGGAGATGCATCAAATCTAAAAATTTTGTACTAAGTTTGCGAAGTTCCATGGAGTGCAATAAAAATCGCATACAAATGCGACTTATAGCGTTCGAAAGGGTAAATCTTTACCTTTAATTTGCGTGCTCGATCAGCATTGTGCGATTTTTTTTCACTAAGTTATTCAATATGGAAGCAAAAATAGTCCTTTTCAATTCAATGTTGAATAACTCGGTGAAAAAAAATCGCACAATGCTCATCGGATTCGCAAATTAAAGGTAAAGATTCATACTTTTGAACGCTGTAAGTCGCATTTATGTACGAATTTTATTTTACTTTCTGGAACTTCGCAAACTTCGTAAAAAAAATCTGTCAAATATCAAAATTCTCTCCAAAATTTGTAAGGTTCCATCATCCGAATTAAAAATCGCACATAAATGAAGTTTACAGTTTTCAAAAGCGTGAATCTTTAGCTTTAATTAAACACTCGATCAGCATTGTGGGATTTTTTTACACCAAGTTACTCAACATTGAAGTAAAAATGATCCTTATGCTTCAACATTGAGTAACTCGGTGAAAAAAAATTGCAAAATGCTCAACGAGTACATAAAATAAAGGTAAAGATTCACGCTTTTAAATGCTGTAAATTGCATTTGTGTGCGATTTTTAATTCATGTTAAGGAGTCTTGTAAAATTCGTAACAAAGTTTTTCGCATTTTTATCTGGCTTTTATTTTCAATTTCAGGTTAAGTTAAATTTTTGAATTGGAAAAAAATTTGCAACTCCAAAGATTCGATAGACTTAGCAAAATTTTTGAAGTTCAAATTGTTTTTAAATTTCAACTTTATTTTTTCAAGTTGATATTTCTCGAAGATGCTTTTGCACTAAAAAATGAAGTTGAAATTTAAAAACTATTTGAACTTCAAAAATTTTGCAAGTCTATCGAATCTTCGGAGTTGCAAATTTTTTTCCAATTCAAAAATATTTAACTTAACCTGAAATTGAAAATAAAAGCCAGATAAAAATGCGAAAAACTTTGTTACGAATTTTGCAAGACTCCTTAACATGAATTAAAAATCGCACACAAATGCAGTTTACAGCATTTAAAAGCGTGAAGCTTTATCTTTATTTTGCATACTCGTTGAGCATTTTGCGATTTTTTTTCACCGAATTATTCAATGTTGAAGCATAAGGATCATTTTTACTTCAATGTTGAGTAACTCGGTGAAAAAAAATTGCACAATGCTAATCGAGTGCTTAAATTAAAACTAAAGATTTACGCTTTCGAAAACTGTAAACTTCATTTACGTGCGATTTATTTCGGATAATAGAACCTTTCAAATTTTGGAAAGAATTTTGATATTTGACAGATCTTTTTTACGAAGTATGCATAGTTCCAGAAAGTAAAATAAAATTCGCATACAAATGCTACTTACAGCGTTTGAAAGCGTGTATCTCGACCTTTAATTTGCGTACTCGATGAGCATTGTGCGATTTTT